TTACTTGAGTTTAGAGCTTTCCGTGGTGGCTCAGTGATGGTATGGGCGGGAGTATCTAGAGACACGGTAGTGTCTCGGCGCTAAGCCAAGCGCGCGACACTGCCGTGCCTCCTTTACGCGACACGGAGAATTTTTCGGGGTTGAGATGATCAGATCTCAGTAACGGCTGAACCGATCAAGTTCTACATACGCTCAATCGACAGGAAATACTTAAATTGTATAATAAAAGTGCTTTCATTTTTTTTCTAGGTACCCTACGAGCGAAGATATCGCGACGCAAAGTCCTAAATTTTCACGTTTTATTTTTAAGATACGTCGTCATTGTCAACGTCATCAACCAGAGAAAATGTCCATCTCGTTTTTTCGATAATAGAGGGCCTTTGACTTTATGTGTTATCTCACTCTATCTATTATCTTACTCTATCTATCTATATCTAACTAGCAGACCAGTGTTGCATGGTGTATCACATATATGACGCGCGCGCAGTTTAAATCTTATAATTAAAAATAAAATATTATTTATTATAAAATATTTATTAAAAATATATATATATATTAGGGTGGTCCTTAAAAAATAAATCCTTTTCGGATATCCCTAAATCGGCTTCAAATAATTCAAAACTAAACCCTGAATTTTTTCAGATTTTTATCTTCGCTTTTTCCCGCGCCCTAAGAGCCCTCTCATTTACTATTTTTTTTAACTATTTTTCGCATTTTTTAAAATTTTTTGACTGGCATTTTTTATACAATCAATCTAAAAACATACCAAGTGTAATATCTTTTTTTGTATGCTTTCCAAGTGCAAAAACTCCAGAATCAACCAAAATGATAAATATCTCGTCGTCGTCGTCGTCTACAGAGTGGGAAAATGTCTTTCGAAATTTTTGACGCAAGAGATAATAAATGTGACTCGACGGTAATTTATAAAAAGAATATGATAATATCGACTGTTGCGATCTATTCGGTCGGTAAAGTCGAATTAAGCGTGTCTCAGTAATAATAAAAATAAAGGATGGCTATTCAGGTTAGGAAGTCTGTCACATCGATAGCACATAACGACACGTAAATGAGGTTAAAAAAAATAATTTTTCTGCTCTTATCTGGTTATTTAATGAAATCATTTTTTTATTATTTCTTTTGCAATAACAGTTATTGCAACATCCTTTCGTACGCAGGATATTAAAAGAACTTTGAGAGTGTACGCAATGCAGTAGGAAGTATAAAGATTTGAATCTTCCATATATGTAATACTACTATATGGCTAGTGCCTATAATAGGGAGTGAGAGGAAGCGGTCCCAGAACCACGGTGCGGGAATATATATTTCCCTCTCTTTCTAAGATTACTTTGAGTGTTGTGCGATGCGTTGGATTGATCGCATCCGCCAATAGGAAATTAGAGTGCGGTCAGTGAGATGACGCGAACAGGTTATGCTCGTTATGCTTATTAGATGTGTGCTGTACACAGGTAAAATGGTCAAGATATGTTATTTATGTGGTGTCGCGCGGTACGTGGAATCAGGTTAATAACTGTGATGTGTATTCTGAGTTAAATTCCTGCAGATTTAATATAATCGAATCACTGGTACAAAATAACGTAAAAGTGTAGTCTATTACACAGATTAATATAAATGAGATAATAATGTCTTGTACAACTACGATACACGAGTCTTGGTTTCCCGCGTAGTAGTTGCCGGTATCTAACAAAGAACAAAAGGTCTAGTAAGTAGATGGCGTAGAGAGGAAACTCTAGAAACTAAAAATAACAGACTCGAATGCTAGCGCCATCCAACAGTGACCGAGGCGCACTATCTCCAACACTCCCACTCGACGAGTTCACTGTGGAATCATGTTCAGGAGCTCCAGATTTGTCCGAAGTTTTTGCTTTGCAAGAGGCTTCGTTAGAAGATCCGCTCTTTGCTCGTTGCTGGCCACATGTTTGACCTCTAGATGACCTTTCTCGTACGTAGTGGTATTTGATGTCCACGTGTTTGGTCCTCCTGTGAAAAGTCGGATTCTTAATTACAGTTTCAGCAGCTGTATTGTCACAGTAGAGAGTCGTCGGTCCGAACTGCTCGTAATCTGTTGCAATAATCCACGAGTCCATACGACCTCCTTAGATGTATCATGAGCCGCTATATACTCTGCTTCCGTAGTTGACGTAGCAATTACTCCTTGCTTTCTAGATGACCAAATGATAGGTCCGCCGTTTAGCATCAACAAAACACCGGAGACTGACTTTCGTGTGTCTACGCAAGATGCGTAATCTGCGTCTGAAAAAGCTTGCAGCTGTTTTTCTTCATTAATCTCCGTACCGTAGATTAAACCGAGATTTGTTGTGCCTTTCAAAGGCTCCAAAAATTGGCAAAGTCTACATACTGCAAATGAAATATCTGGTCTTGATCCATTTGCCAGAAATATTAGCGAGCCAATTAATTGACGATATGGGAAACCTTCATCTTCGATGAAATCACCTTCCTCTTCAGGTTCTCGTTTCAGTACAGTTTGCGTTTCCATAGGGGTGCTAACGCAGTTACAAGTTGCCATGTTGAACTTTTGAAGTATTCTCATAGTGTATGCCGTTTGATGTACTCGTGTAAGTTTATTGAGACGATCACGATTGATTTCAAGTCCTAGATGGACTTCCCAAACTTCGCTTCACCATGCGTTATTTTGAAACGATTTTTAAGTAGTAATAGTAGCTTGTTTATTTTGTTCATAGATGCGCCAACTATCAGACCATCATCCACATACAATCCCAATAGCAGATCCTTTTCGTCATTAACATAGATACATGGATCATAGTCTGTCGGTCGCATATTTAATTCCGCTAAAACGGTATCAATCTTCCTGTGCCACTGTAAAGGTGATTGCTTCAGTCCGTATAAGCTACGTAATAACTTGCATACTCTTCCGCTACCATCGTCGAAACCTTCCGGTTGTAACATATAAATATCTTCTTTCAAATCACCGTATAAGAAGGCTGTCTGAACGTCAAACTGAATCATCTCATAATCTTTTTCAGTTGCAAGAGATATTAGCAAACGAATTGAATCAAAACGTGTCACTGGCGAATATGTTTCATTGAAGTCGGTTCCAGGTTTTTGACTACAACCCTTGACAACTAGTCTTGCCTTGAATCGATCAACGTCGCCGTTTGGTTTAATTTTAACTCGATAAACCCACTTATTTTTAATAGCGCGACGTCCTTCGGGTAGTGTTGCCAGTTTCCACGTCTTGTTTTCTTTTAGTGAGTCAAGTTCTTCACACATTGTTTGCTCCCACTGTTCATGGTCAGATGATTCGACAGCTTCTTCATAGTTATCAGGCACTTTTATTTCAGCTAACATACATGAACATTCATGATCACCGACCTGGTTTTGACTTCGCGTACGAAGGGCTATGCAATCATCAGTTACTGATTTAGATTTCGATTTCAATGACATCTTATTTGATCGAGTTCCGTGCGCAACTGCTTGATCTTCACTAGGGGTTGAATCAACTTCCGAATCCACAATTTGTTCGTTACTTTCTTCCTTAGGCTGTTTTGCTTCTTCTTTATCATCAATGAATTGGACATTTGCCAACGGGCGAGGTTCAACAATTTTGACGTTGCATCGTACGTATACATTCTTTGTGCCACGTTCCCAAAGACGGTAAGCCTTGCAACCCGGCTCATATCCCACAAGTACCAGCTTCTTCGACTTCTTGTCAAATTTGTTCCTGAACTGGTCTTCAATGTGAGCATACGCTTCGCTGCCGTAGATACGCAAAGAACTAACGTCTGGCTGTTCACTTGTGAAAGCCTCCCAAGGGGTTATTCCATTTAGTCGATCTAGTGGCACGCGATTACGAATCATTGCAGCAGTTCTTGAAGCTTCGGCCCAAAGAGATGTTAGTAAGTCAGCTGCGGCTAACAAGGTGCGTCCAGTCTCGACGATTGTCCTGATTTATCGCTCAGCTCGGCCATTTTTTGCGGTGCACGGGGAGTTGAAAATTCATGAACTATCTTATATTTGTTCATAATACGTTTCATATCCTTGCTAATAAACTCACGTGCATTATCGGATCGAAAACGTTTTACCTTGTGTCCGTACGAATTTGTAATTGCAATGACACTTTCAACTGCGTCAATTATTTCAGTGTGATTTTTCATGGGACGTACAATTAAAAATCCTGAAAAATCGTCCACAAAGACAGCTAGCACCGTATTGCCACCAAGCGATGGAGTCGACATCGGCCCACAGATATCGAAATGTATCAATTCTGCTGGTTTATTGGCCCGAGTGTCAGATTCGACAAACTCTTTACGTGTCTGCTTTTCAAAGATGCAGGCCTCACAAAAACGATTGTCGGTTCTCCCACTGAATTTTGAAACGTTCATGCCTGTGATTGCTTTGCTGTTAGCCATTTGATCCAGTTTCTTATAGTTTACGTGAGCGAGTCGTTCATGCCATACAGATAATGGCTGCGTATCCTTACAGGCAATTTGAGCTTCGTGCTCTGGCAATACAACTCGTGTGTCCATCATGTATAAGTTTCGTTCATAGCTATAGCCAATCATTAGCACTTTATTTCCTTTCATTATCCTTATTTGATTTTCGTCAATGATTGTCTTGTTACCCTGTCTGGCGCTGGCACCAATGCTCAGTAAATTTCGACCTAAATCCGGAATCCAGAATACATTATGTAGAGTACCTTCACGTTCCTTATCGTTAACCATTGAAAGGATTCTGATGTTGCCTCTACCACGTGCATAAACAATATCGTTGTTTCCTACAGTAATTGGTACCGATTTATCATTTATTGCTTCAAATGTATCGAACCAGTCTCGTCGAAACGTCATATGATTACTGGCTCCTGAATCTGCTAACCAATGATCTTCCTTTGGTCGTTTATTTAGATCTGAAAAGAATGAAGCTGTGAATGCGTCACCATACGACATTCTCTTACCTTGAAATGCGCTATTGGCTTGTTTCGATTCTCGTTTGGGCTTCTTGCATTATCGAGCCGTATGCCCTTCTTCGTCACAATTGAAGCATTTTCCTTTAAATGTATTCTTGTGTTGCTTAGGCTTTTTGTCATGCTTCGTCTTCTTCGCATGCAATGCGACAGATTCCTCTTCGCTATTAATCTTAACCTCACCAAAACTTTTAGAGAGTTGCTCTTCTTTCATGAGACGAGGCAATAGATTAACTAATTTCTGTTCGTGTCTCGATACTGAATCCCAAGCTGATATTACCGAACGATAGCTTACCGGTAGTGAATGCAGAATCTTTGTAATTATCGTCGTTTCATCCTGCTTATGACCAAGGTCCTCGAGTTGTCGAGCCATCTGTTCGACGTTACTGACATGTTCTGACACTGTCATCTTGCTTGGATCCATCTTATACTCGAAGAATCTTGCTAGTAATAAATGTACGCTTGTTTCATTTTTCTGTTCGTACAAAGCTTCAAGCCTTAACCAGATTTCGTTTGAAGTCTTACAATTCACAATGTGACGTATCTGTGAAAGCTCCATTGATTGAGTTAACGCAAAACGTGCCTTCTTGTTGGTAGTATCCCAAGTCTCGGCATTTTGTTCCGACTTAACCGTTTTGCCACTCGCTACCTCGAATAATCCGTGATAGTCAAGATAGACTGACATCTGATACTTCCAGAGTCCAAAATCAGTTCCGTTAAATTTTGTGACTGTAATCTTGTCCATGATTCTCGTGATATATCTCTTTTGCAAGACAGATAACCTTACTCGAATGAATCTCACAGTTACTTTACCGCCTATCTAGGCCCATAACATGTCGCGGGGTGCGCGGAATCAGGTTAATAACTGTGATGTGTATTCTGAGTTAAATTCCTGCAGATTTAATATAATCGAATCACTGGTACAAAATAACGTAAAAATGTAGTCTATTACACAGATTAATATAAATGAGATAATAATGTCTTGTACAACTACGATACACGAGTCTTGGTTTCCCGCGTAGTAGTTGCCGGTATCTAACAAAGAACAAGAGGTCTAGTAAGTAGATGGCGTAGAAAGGAAACTCTAGAAACTAAAAATAACATACTCGAATGCTAGCGCCATCCAACAGTGACCGAGGCGCACTATCTCCAACATGTGGCAAAAAGCCTAATGCGCCTAATGCGACTGAAAACATTAGTTTGCACAGGTATGAAATAGGTATTAGTTTGCACTGATTATCATGAAATTTCTGTAAGTGATTGCACTGTATTCTTATATACATAACGGCAATTTTGAAAAAGTTTATTTCATAAAATAAGGATTAATTTATTTATTCCGACAAAACTGACCCTTTTAATTGTAACAAGATTATATCCTGAAGCGGAATCAATCACTTTTTCCTTCTTCCTTACACATATATGTATGTTTATCCTTCTATTTATCATTGATGGAGGGGATAAATCCGACGCATGCGCACAACGTTCAAAGTACACTGAGAAAGAGAGAGAAGTATATTCCCGCACCGTGGTTCTGGGACATGGACTTCTCTCTCATCTAGCCATATAGTAGTATTACATATATGGAATCTTCCCGATTTAATGCAATCTAACGCGATTGGTGGCATGGTATCTCTGCCTTACAATCAAACATTTTGAAATCACCAAGTACTCTTCTGGTTTATCGTATCAGATAAGTTTTATAATATATCTATTAATTTGTTACCTCTATTCTTTATATAATTATAAAAGAACTGATTCTTTGTGTTGTTCCAGATTTATCAAAATACTAAAATCCTGAATGTTAGTAAAAGGCAATGTGTACTAAAATCAAGTAATTTTATATTTGGAGTATTTTGATTTCCTTGCTGTGTGTTTACTTTGTGAGTATTATTATTTATTTGTTATTTATTTGTCTAATGGTTATCTTAATATTATTATTTATTTATTAGGTCTTTGTTACAACTCAAAAGAAAAAGCCTGAATAATCTCTATTATAATTTTAAAAAAACTTATTCTTTGTGCTGAATTTTATATTTTCAGATTTATTGAAAGATAAGGCCTGAATCCAATCTGTCTGTATACCTTTATACTACTATAGTATCCTGATCTTGATTTTCTCACTATATTTATTTTGTGAATTGCCTTTTGTTTGTTTGGCAATTATGTCAATATTATCTTATAATTTATTATTTATCATCATTTTTTACAATACCTTCACAAGAATATCCTGATAAATAATAAATTATTTCATAGGATAATATTGAGATAGTACATTCAAGATTACGCCAAATATAAAATTAGTACACATTGCCTTTTAACGGCATTGACAAATGATTTTCAGGATATATATACAGACAGATTCAGACCTTTCCTTTCAATAAATCTGAAAATAAAATTCAGTATATCAAGTCTCTCTATTTTTTACCTTTACAATAATATCCTGATAAATAATATAATAAATTATGTCATAGTTTGTTCTCTCTATTCCTTATATAATTATAAAAGAACTGATTCTTTGCATTATATTTTATTTTCAGATTGATAGAATATCCTAAAAGTTACGTATCAATGTCGTTGAAATGCAATGTATGCTAAAACCAAGTAATTAATAATTTGTTCTCTCTATTCTGTATAATTATGATGAAAGAATTTGTACTGCAATTTATTTTCAGATTTACTGATATATTTATTATTTATCAGGAGATATTGTTTTAAAGGTATATACAGACAGATTGGAATATGTTAGAATAACTTCTCTTGCAGCATCCTTTCGTACGGCGGATTATAAAATCTCACATTTTGAATCTTCCTGATTTAACACAATATTTGACGTGATTGGAGGCTTGGTATCTTTTTGTTATTGGTTTCTCTTCAATTTCTTCAATATTGTTTCAGATAAGTTTTACAGTCTCTATTAATGTTCTCTCTATCTTTATAATTATAAAAGAATTGATTCTTTGTGTTTTATATTTTCAGATTTATGGAAAGAAAATACCTCAAAAGAAATGACAAGAATTGAAATCCTAAAAGTTACGTATCAATGTTTTTAAAATGCTATGTGTACTAAAACCAAGTAATTTTATCTCGCTGTATTTACTTTGTGAGTTGTTTTTTATTTATCTGGTAGTTTTTTTCCTATTTTCTATTAATAATTTGTTCTCTCTATTCTACATAATTATGAAAGAATTCATTTTTTGTGTCGTAATTTTCAGATTTACTGATTAATATCCTGAAAGTAATATATCGTTTTAAAAGGCAATGTACTAATAATTTATTATTTATCAAGTCTCTATTTTATTTTATACTTTTACAAGAATATCTGTATGAATATCTGTATGCGCATACAGATCGCCAGGACGTTGTATCGGTTTTCCAGCCATATCAACAACACAGTCTGACTTCCCATGAAGGGAATTTTCCTGCGAGAGAGAGAGAGAGAGAGAGAGAGAGAGAGAGAGAGAGGGGGGGGAAAGACAAAATACATATACTTTTTAACACTTTATACTACTTCGAATTAGGTGCAGAATAATGAATATATCGTTTTTTGTAAACAAATTTTGCAAGTTCATCCACCATTTTTGATATTCGGAATGAAATATGTATGTTAAACACCCTGAAAAATATTACAAAATGTGAAATTGATGTCAATCATTCTGGTACTACGTGCCAGAGCATCCAGCACCCATGCACTACCATTTTTCGACATTATCGGTTAAAAATACATATCTTCACATACAATAAAGTTAAATAGACGCACAAGCCCGGAAATTAACGTGTGATTAGCCTACTATAAGACTATGCAGTTACAATATTCAAAAAATTTTTTTTTTCAAATTAGATGCATTTTTTCTTCTAAAAATGGCTGAATTTTCGTCATTTTTAGTGAAATTTTTGAAGTTTTTCACTGATAACACTAAGCATCAGTAATTTTTTGGATCTGGAAAAATTCACACGTATTCTGGAAGCAATTATGCGTAAAATGAGAGGTCGTACGATTAATTATCATGTTCCGTTGGAGTGCAAAAAATTCTGAAAGGAACGAATTTTAAAAAAATACAAAATGGCGGATATCTCGAAAATGGAGGGTGATGGGAAAATTCTATGAACGGATTTGGATTCAGCACACAAAAATACGTCAGAAAAATATACCCGCATCTCTGATGATTTCGCAAAGTCAAATTTTGTTGACCTGTGTAATTAAGAAAGAACTAATTCTATACACTGTATTTTATTTTCAAATTTATTGAAAGAAAAGGCCTGAATCCAATCTGTCTGTATAATACACCTTTATATTTGATAGTTATCTCAATATTATTCTATGAAATAATTTATTATTTATCACCTATTTTTTACAATATCTTTACAAATATATCCTGATAAATAATACATTATTTCATAGAATAATTTTGAGATAACTACCTGACAAATAATAAATAATATAAGTAAGAAGAAAATAAATATTATTTCATAGAATAATAATATATTATTTCATAGAATAATTTTGAGATAACTACCAGACAAATAAATGATAATATAGTAAAAGGCAACTCACAAAATAAACACAGTAATGAGAAAATCAAGATTACGCCAAATAAAGTATTATTTGTTTTTTTTTAGTACGCATTTCCTTTTAAGGACATTGACAAATAATTTTCTAGATATTTTAGTAAAAGATAAATTTTTATACTAACTTCGATACATTGCATCCTCCCTTCTTTTATTTCACTATCTTGTCATATAATATGGATTTTTCCCATAAAATATATCGTTTAATTAACTAGTTTTTAAAAATTCTATCTCTAAAGATCTAAGAGGTACCATCCTTATTATACACTTATTTAATTCTATTGACATGTATCTTTTGTATGTATATAACATAAAAACTTACCTTTTTAAAAAAAAGGTAGAAAAAAGCGCTAAGAGTGGGTGCTGCTGGACAAAAAACAATTTGGGCCAGTTTCATCAACGTCAATTACTTAATCGACTGTGAAACGACCAATCACATTTGCTGTTTAGTAGAACCATCTTTAAAAACCTACGTGATATTATCCTTATTTAATTAATTCTAATGACATGTATTATTTGTATAAAAGATTTGATATCAATATTCGGCGCCAAGTTAAATTCTAATCTTTAAAAACCAACGTGATATTATCCTTATTATTTACTTAAATCAATGACATGTATCATTTGTATAAAAGGTTTGATATCAATAGTCTGCGCCAAGTTATTCTACCTTATTACTTACTTAATTTTAATGACATTTATCATTTGTATACAAAATTTGATATCAACAGTCGACGCCAAGTTAAATTTTACCAAATTAAAAAGTAAAACACAAGTGGTACCTTTAATCTTTAAGAACCCATATAGTACTATTATTTAATTCCACTAAATTAAAAAGTAAAACCTAAGTGGAATTATCTTTATCTTCATACAATGAAACCTAAGTATATGCCTTTGTATTCTTATTAAAAGATCTGCCTATTCGAAACCAAGTGATTTAATTCTTCTTTAAAAAAATTATATCACACTTAATTTAAAAAAAAAATGAAAAAGATTTATTTAAATAGAAAAATTTTTTATGTAAAAACACTTCGCGCTGCTAATTCTCGATCTCGATGTAATAAAATATAATGATAAAGATAAGAAACATTTTCACGAGAATTAAAGTATTTAGTGTGTATATATTCGTGTATATGTATGTGCGAGTGAATTGTATCTCAATCCCAAAAAAAAGTAAGC